GCACTCATCTGCACTCTCAGACAATGCATTTGCAGTCATCTGCATTACCATATAACTCTGTTAGTGTATACATAATGTGCAGCTAACCATTTAATTAGAAGAATTCATCATTATAGTAATTAAAGCTCTCAAGAATGAGAAAAAAGCAACGTAATTAAGTTATTCATGTATGGTAAAGCAGCATTTAGACTTATATCAAATGAATAACTAATCAATGTCACAAAATTAAAGATGTTTGTCAGACCAGTAACTTCTTCAGGGAGAGCTGCTAGAATAGTACATACCAAAAGATAAAAAAAGGATATGGCAAAAGACAACAGATCTGAGCAGAGGATAGTTTAATTGGAAAATCCTCTCCCTGAATATTGGATAGATGAGATTTTTCGTTATTGGCCATTAAATCAGCCTCTTTGAGATTTTATATTATAACAAATCATCAATTAAAAGTCAACACTTTTGAGGGAATCAGATCTGCAACTTTAAAGGCAGGTTAAAAGAAGAGAACATCTCTTATTGCTATTAATCAATATGTAAAAAGACCAACCATATTGTTAGTTTTAAGTTAACAAGCATGCTGCTTATGTTGGTATGTGACTAAACATCAATACCTATCAACTAGGAAGGTAAAGAATTCAATTTCAGAGGCATAATAAGTGGAAGAGCTTACTGCAATTATGGTAATCCGCCTTGTTGGAAGCATTGAACCCTGACCATTTTGTAATAAATCTAAAGACACAAGCCGCTTGACTCCAGCCTTTGCTGCAGCCTCCCAGTTTCCAGTCTCTTCAAAAGAACGAATCAGTCTTGTTGCTTTAAGGCCGTCCATTACCGGCATGCAAACATCCTGCAAAATTCATGTGGAACATGGTTACCAAAATGTTATAGTTCTACCATTCCTCTAAAATTAACAAAGCTTTTAGGACTACAATTGATGTAAGATAAGTGTATTCATGTTCTCTAAATTTGAAGATAGCCTCTTTCTGCATTAAGGCTTATTATGTAAAGGGTGTGATGGGTAGATGAGAAAGTAGCAACCAGTAGGAAGCAACCCCTGGAAAACTACTAGAGAAAACAATGAAGAAAAGGATCTTAAAATTACCATAAGAATTAGATCATAAGTATGGCTCTGAACAGCACGGACTGCTTCAACTCCATTGTTCACAACATCTATTGTATGGCCTAACTGCTTCATCATTGACTGTGTCACCATTACATTAACCTTGTTATCTTCTACAACAAGGATCCTTGGCTTTGAAATTGACTCCTGTACTTCTGGGCTGCCATTTGACATGGTCTGAGAAACTGTGTCAGGTTTCCCCTGCCTCTGAGGTGATATCTGGGATTCACTAATCTTTGAAGTTGTACCAAACTCTCTGCTTGCTTCAATGTGACCTGACATACTTGTGGTCAAGTTCTTGAATTCAATATCTGAATCACCTTGACATTGTTTTTCTTGACAAATTGCATTTTCATCACCAGGATCTGGGCTGTGACTAAATAAACTTTCAGACTCAGAAAATGTCTCTACAGCTTCAGCAACAGAACAGGCATCCTCAAGACAAGCCACCTCCTTTGTTCTAACATTGTTTGAGGGAAATGAATAAGAATGCCTCAAGAACCCATTAAGTTTAGGAGGATTTGCGTAGCCAATATTACGTGGCATTAATTTTTGTGTTCTGCTTGATCCATTAGAAGTGAACAGAGAACCCAAAGTACGTGGTTGGAATTGAAAAAAACCAACAGTTTCATCGTCAGTTGATTCAGTAGCAGCTTCATGGTCAGCCATATCTGACAGCTCATCAGGATCATCAGAATTATCTCCAGGCAGTGAAACTTTGTAAGGTAATATAAAGGTAAATGTAGACCCACAGTGCACTCGACTAGACACAGTGAGACGACCACCCATCAGCTCAACCTGTCACAAATGCAAGCAATTATAAGAAAATTGTCTAAAAATCTGGTCTATGTCAGATCAATTTTCTGTAAAAGTAATAAATTGAACTTTTAACCATGAATGGCAAAATACACACAGATTTATGAATTTTCTGAACCTTTTGTCATTTTTGTAACATAAACAATCTCTAAGTTTGACAAATAATAGACATGTTTCTTTAGGCCGGTAACATGGAACAATCATAACATAATAAATAGAATTTAGAAAAACCAAATAGACGAAACATAATTTTCATGGGATGGAAGACTTCACCAGCTGTTTGCAAATTGCCAAACCCAGTCCTGTTCCACCATATTTTCGGGCATGATCGGCACTCACTTGCATGTATCTTTTAAATAGAGTGGGTAAAGCATTTTCTGTTACAGGAACCACAACTTAGAAAAAATTCAGATTGGTTTAGACACCATAATTAAATTAAGAGAATACAAGCACACCTGGTATCCCAATTCCAGTGTCATATACATCACAGCAAATCCACACTGCTTCAGGTATCTGGATTTGCTCCTCATCACTATCTACAGTTCCATTCTTAACTGGCGTTCTAGGTTCATCGAGTTGATGATTATGGAGGGAGTCACCATGATTTTGACTGTGAAAACCATTCTGATCGCCATTCGTTTGAGATTTCATTGCACATTTTTCTTCTTTGGGCACATCGGTAGTTGATTGATCTGCAGTGGATCTATTTTGAGATGCTTCCTTCGCAAAAGGCGGCTCCGGTACTACATAAAGTTTTATTCCCACCTTTCCTTCATGGGTAAACTTGACTGCGTTGCTGAAGAAAGTAAAAAATTATTAAAATATTTATTTTTCTGCCACGGAAATAATATTTAAGTACAATGGCCGGCACCGTTAACCCGATAAGACTCATGCATTTTTTTCGCAAAATTTCTTTGACAATATACCATAGAACTTCTATATAAAGTTCATTTTTTCTCGGCTTTATACATTGTTCATTACCTGATCAAGTTGGTCAGAATTTGCCGAATCCTCAGAACATCTCCAATGACCTGAAATTGAAATGAAATTACAATATCATTTCCGTGAATAATGGCAGTAGAACGCAGAAGTCATGGATGGTGCTTAGTAAAAGTCTAACTTCTACCGTAAAGGCCTTCCAATTACAAAGAAATTATAATGGGCAAAGTCCCGAATACCCATGTTATCCAAAAGAAAGTAATTGTGACTTAGAAGATGCTCACCTCAATTGGAACATCCTCTGCTACATGTCCTTCCAAGGTAAGAATTTTCTGCAATGAGGCTGCAGCTGTTTGAAGTACATGCTTTACAACTTCTCTTGGTCGGAATTTGGTAGCTTCCAATTTCATAACACCTGAAATAGTGTATAAATGTAGGAAATTCAGAATTATAAGGAACATATAAGATAGTACAGAAAAAGAAAAGACAGCATGAAATTTTCAGACAGAAAAGACCAATCTGAATGTAGAAGTTTCAAGCATCTCTTACAAATTACAGGATCCAACCATTAAAAATTAGCCACATGATCCAACAGATATGGTATCATGCGATTATCAAGAGAAGAATTAATACATACAATAAGTTCCAGACAATTTGGCAGGAGAAGAATCCAGACCTGACTCAACCTTGGAAAGATCGAGGATGTCATTTATAAGTTGAAGGACTAAATCTCCTGAAGATATCATGACATCCAACAATTGTCTTTGTTCGTGATCAAGTTTTGTGGTGGAAAGGATCTCAGCCATGCTAACAACCCCGGATAGAGGTGATCTGATCTCATGAGACATAGTTGCTAGCATTTGTTTTGCTCGCATTGTCTCCTCTGTAATAGTGTAGAAAAACAGTTAAATTTAGCTGACTAAACTGAAATTTAGTACCAAACAGATTTTCAACAAGTGGCAAGAACCTGTTATATGGATTGTTTTGTTCAATTCAGTTTCCTTTGCCTTTTGCACAGCTATTTCTTCTCGAAGCTTTGCCATCTTTTCTCTTTTCCTTACCTATTTTGAAATCAAGAACATAAACAACCACCCTTCATAATGTCAATGGGAGACCTTGGATGACTAGTAAGAACAAAACTTATTTACCTGGTCTGTTACATCCATGCCCATGTAATTTACACCAATTGTCTCCCCTGCCTTGCTAAAAACAGGTTCCACATATATCAAAAATGTCTTCGAGCCAAACAACTCT